GTTTTTTTTCAAGGCAACACTCTTTAAGTTTTTCAGGGAGCTCTGAAAATAGGATAAACAGACTTAAGGCTCACTTATTCTGTTCTTTTTCTAATCATTTCACCTGGGTTCTATATTTTCAAAGTTATCCTTTTTCCTTTAACTCTAAGCCCTATTTGCTTATATCTGTATTTCTTTTTTTTGAGCAGAATAATCTCCTGTATTCTTTTGAAATGAAGGTAAAGTTGGGTACGTGATTTCTTTTAACTTTAACAGAGAAATAGTTCACTCTCCACTGATATAAATATACAGTAAAACCTTGGTTTGTGAGCATAATTTGTTTCCTGAATATGCTTGTAATCCAAAGCACCTGAATATCAAGGGGAATTTCACCATAAGAAACAGTAGACACTCAGAAGCTTCTTTCTACAGCCCCCAAAATTCCTATAAAATGGTTATAAGCTGAATGTAATATAAGATAATAAAGAAAATATAAACTAAAGAAAATAAATTGTAGTTACCTTTAAAAACCTTCATGGTTAGTGTGAGGAAGACAAGAGACAGAAGGGCTGTTGTGCACGATGACTTTCTCTGTCACTAATGGAATCACTGCTGTCTATTGGCTCAGTGGAATCTTCTTCTTTTTGTGCAACTTTAACAACACATCTACCCACTGACACTTGCTTTTGTCTTATTTTGAGGATTTTGGGGAAATATTGCATTGGATTGTTGTTAAACAGAGGCAAGGCTGGCACTGCCACAACCTTGCGGGTGCTTTTCTTCCAAATTTTACACTCTTATTTTACATTTTACACATCTCAGTAATCTCAGTTGATTTATGGAGTTCCTCTGCCTTTTTAAGCCCCCTACCAGTTGAGATCTCCATAACCTCTTGCTATTGGGAGTGAATTACCCATAATCCCAGGGGGGTCACTGGCTCAGTTGTGATCATGTACTGTTTGGTATCATGTACTACTTGTATTGCAAGATATCGCTTATTATTTATTAGAAATGTCTGCTTGTCTTGTGGAAAACTCGTGCAACAAATTAGTCACAATCCAAGGTTTTACTGTACTTATATTATCACTTGAGAAATAATTCATATGTACTGGAGAAAAAAAATGTAGCAGTAGACTACAACATTGGGTTTTGATTTTCTGTTCGCTTCCTTGTTTTCACCTCCATTTATAGAATTCCAATATGTTCCAAGCAGTCTTCATGGACAGTTCTCCAAGACTTTTGTGTTGTCAACCAGTTATAAGACTGTCCATGTTCTGACATTTTGGTTTTCTCAATCCCTGAAACTACACGCAAGATCTACTTGTTCTACAAGCTTCTAGCAACCACGGAATATCAATGCTAGGAAGGGTATCTAGACAACATGGAGAAAGAATAAAAGAAGGGGACATGGATAAATAATGAGAGACTATCCTATTTTAAAATATATTTAAAATATTTTTGTAGATTAGTGACTTTTAAAATAGATATGTATGAAATTAAGATGTGTTACATCTTATTTCAATATACAAATATTAAATAGCAATTCAAGCCTGTCAAAATGCTTTCATACAAGTAATCTCAGAGGTGGTCCTTGTAACAGTCCTTAAGTGAGAGGCAAGAAAAGGGTCAGACTCCAAACTTCTTCAAGGTTCAGAAATTTAAATTCCTTTCTTCTGTATAGTACTTTCCAGCATTTTATCCCCAGTATGTTAATTAATGATAGAAGCATGTAGATTCTGAAGAGAACTTTTTCTTTGCATAGGTTCTATTTTGTCTGATGTAAGAAAAATACATATCCTGGAATTTTGCAAAATATTACTTTACTTATTTTGCTTTTGCTAAGGTCATGGTAAGAGCTTTCAGATTTCCACACAGCTCACTCTCTGTAAGCTTTAGTTTTTTCTTTCAGAAGAAGGGGAAGAAATGGTTGTAACTTCTTAAAGTTACTGTATGGGCAAAAGGAGAGAAAAAATGCATACCACAGTGCTGGGCACACTGCAACTCTTCAATATCTTCATGCTATATTGACATGTTTTTCCTAAAATTTGTATGTATATGTGATAATTTTCATTCTTTTTGCCAGGTACAATAAAAATTTAGAAGAAGCTAAAAGAATTGGAATAAAGAAAGCTATCACTGCCAACATTTCTATTGGAGCCGCTTTCCTGCTAATCTATGCATCCTATGCTCTGGCATTTTGGTATGGGACCAGCTTGGTCTTGTCAAACGAATATTCTATTGGACAAGTACTCACTGTAAGTGCTATGTGAGTGGTAAAGAGGAACAAATCATCATTAAAAATGGCAATGAAACTGGGTGGTGTTGGCTTGACTTCAGGAGAACATATTTTGAAAAATGGTTGAAATGGAACAGAGACATACAAAATAGCACAGGCCTGTAATTTCATCTATTTGGAAGGCTGAGGACTGAAATTTGAGGCCAGCCTGAGCAAGGTAGCAAGACAGTGTCTCCAGAATAATATAAAAAGGGTTAGGCATACGGCTCAGTATTACAGTGGTTACTTAGCATGTGTGAAGCTGTGGGTTCAATCCCAAGATCCACAGAACATAAAAAAGAAAGAAAGAAAAAGAGTAGAAATGTGGCTCAGATTTCAGCTCTGTACTTACTAGCTATGTTACTTAGGGTAGTCACCTACATCCTGCAGGCCTGTTACCTCTTCTGTGGGAAGAAGAGTGTGACCTCACTTTTAGTATTATTATTGAGTGTGAAATAGTGAATATAGAGTCACTTAGTAAAATTCCTTCTGTGTAAAACTCTGGGCAGTGTACTTCCTATATCATTTAGGAAAAAACGAATAGTGATGCTAGTTCTCTTTAACTTCTAGTAGAAATAGAGACAAGTCTTTATGTTCCATTTTGCCTTCCTAATGATCTAAATAAAAACTCTAAGCCTTGAAGAAATACAAATATATTCTATTGCAATATTATGATCACTTATCATTGACATCATTGTTTCTCATAGAAAGTAACACCAATTGTACATTCTTCAGATAGTAAATAAAAAAGAATTTAAACATTAAAATTTTACACTAAAAAAATTTATATTCTCAGTTTACAAATTATAATTGTATTACTGTTGTGGAGCATAATGTAATTTTTGGTATGTATACAATGTACAGTGAATAACCAACATTGATAGTTAACACTAACACTGATAGTTAACATCTATCACTTTATTTGATATTATTATTTTCTTTTGTATTTTTAGTACAGGGACTATAGGGTCTCACTACGTAGACTGAAATTGTAGCGATCTTCCTGTGTTCAGCCTCCCAAGAGCTGGGATTATAGGCACACACCACCACGCCCAGTCTCAATCACAGTCTCAGTGCACCCTGGGGTCAGGGTTGGCATGGCACACCAGGGATAGAACCCAGGCCACTGAGTCTGCCATAGCAGATGCTTTAATCTGCTGAGCTGTTTGGCCAGCCCTATTTGATATTTTTTTGTAGTGGTACACTTAAAATTTACTCTTAGCTGTAAACTTTTAAAATATTTTTAATATTCAGTATTCTTCTGTTGCCTTGCCATTTTAAAATGGAGCTAGGTATGATAGAAGAAAGAAGTATGTAAAATATACAGTAAATACCAAGTAACTCTATGATTTTCCTTCACATTCCTCAGGTTTTCTTTTCAGTCTTAGTTGGGACTTTTAGTGTTGGACAAGCATCTCCAAATATTGAAGCATTTGCAAATGCAAGAGGAGCAGCTTATGAAATCTTCAAGATAATTGACAATGTAAGTCCAAACTGGCTTATTCTCATATAAGAACCGATTTTCTATTAAAACCCAATTTCATTATCATTTTATCTTGTTCTCCACAAAATGTCACTAAACGATAGCTGCTGTAACTTATTAACTTATTGATCTTCTAACCCTTGATTTTGTGCAGGAGCCACACATTGACAGCTTTTCACCAAATGGCCACAAACCAGACAATATTAAGGGAAATTTGGAATTTAGAAATATCCACTTCAGTTACCCATCTCGCAAAGAAGTCAAGGTATGACAATAACTAATCAATGAATAAACAATATTTTCCATGTAAAGTGTCTGACACTAAGAGAAAGAAAGAACAATGCCTGTGTATTGCAGTCTAGTATTGAATTGAGCTGTCAGTTCCCACACCCCCTCTCTGCATGTGGGAGTTGCCTTGAAGTCTGTTTCTCACTTGCCTTGGTAGATCCTGAGGGGCCTCAATCTGAAGGTGCAGAGCGGGCAGACCGTGGCCCTGGTTGGCAACAGTGGCTGTGGGAAGAGTACAACCGTGCAGCTGCTGCAGAGGCTTTATGACCCCTCAGAGGGCACGGTGAGCCAGTGTGGTCCTTAGCACTTACAGCTGATCTTCCTCATGCTGTGCTCTCAATTACAAATGTGTGGAAACCTCACTTGCTGTTTCTTTCAGGTCACTATTGATGGGCAAGACATCAGGACCATAAACGTGAGGTATCTGCGAGAAATTATCGGTGTGGTGAGTCAGGAACCTGTGCTGTTTGCCACCACGATAGCTGAAAACATTCGCTATGGTCGAGAAAATGTCACCATGGATGAGATTGAGAAAGCTGTCAAGGAAGCCAATGCTTACAATTTCATCATGAAACTACCTCATGTGAGTGATTCATTCAAACTTGCAAAGCACAGAACCATAGTCTAACAGAATCCATATGAAATTAGGATGGGCGAATATCCTAAGAATGTAAATCAAGATTACTCTGTATGTAGCAGTATCAGTTAGAGGTAGATGATGTATAAACTTAAAAACTGGGGTGATGTGTTGCTGACTTCAGAGCTAGATTGTATTACTGGTGAGGCTTGGAAGGTTTATTGGATTACTTCCCAGTTTAAAAGGCAGTGTGGAAATAACTTGTGCTTTTTCTAAGTCTTTCAATAATTTTTTCTGTTGCAGAAATTTGACACCCTGGTTGGAGAAAGAGGGGCGCAGCTGAGTGGTGGTCAGAAGCAGAGAATCGCCATTGCCCGTGCCTTAGTTCGCAACCCCAAGATCTTGCTGCTGGACGAGGCCACATCAGCCCTGGACACGGAGAGTGAGGCAGTGGTTCAGGTGGCCCTGGACAAGGTCTGTGTGCCCAGCTCACACCAGCTGACTTGCAGCACAGTAGCTTTCTTTTGTTAATTCTTTTTATTCTGATTTATTTCTTTATTTCTGATTATTTTTCCATTTATATGATTTCTTCACTTATTCAAAGCATCAGGCCTCCAATACATTTTTTGTGTTGCTTTCTACATTTCTACATTTCTACATTTTTCTGATCTCTTTTTAAACATTATAACAAATATACTTTTCACATAAAAATATTTGTAAAGTTTTTATATTACACAATGAGAAATGTAGACTAAAAAGAAAACTGGTTTTCATTGTGATCTTGAAAGCTTTGCTACTGGGATAACCTTGTTTTTTGTGTTTTGAGAGTTTATAACACTGTCAATAAAACAAAAATACAATCTGAACATGCACATTTAATTTATATGATTGTAAATGTCACTTTAAGACATTGGCAAATGAGAAATTTTGTGTCCCCAAGATGGAGGCAGAAACATCTATGGTATTGTCCACCTACTCGAGGTGTTAAGTGTCATTGATTATCAACAAAGGTTAAGCTTTATCTTAGTTACTTTCTGATTGTTGGGACAAAATTCCCCACACTCACAAGTTAAAGGAGGAAATGTTTATTTTAGCTCATAGCTTGTAGAGATTTCAGTCCAGAGTTTGCTGCTCCAAAGCTGGGCAGTGTGGTAGAGGGGAAATATTCCACAGCATGACAGGCAGGAAACAGTGAGCTTTCCTTCTTTCTCTTTTATCACATACAGGCTACAAACCTATGGGGTGGTGCCACTCACACCCATGTTGGGTCTTTAGTCCTCAGTAAATCCATTCAGCCATACCCAGAACGATGCTCAGTGAGCTAATCCACTAACATGCACCCTTAAGGCAGTAGCACACACCCACAGACCAACTACTGTTCAAAGCCCTCTTGTAAGTGCATAAAGTGGTGGGGAGACAGGGAAATATAAGCCATCGCAACCACCTCATCATAATTGAGTACATGAAAGACTTACTCACCATGCACAGAATGTGCTCCGTCCGTGTAGGTGGACATTGTGTGCTTGATCTTCATTATTTAACAGCAACAAGGCCGTCTCAATGAGTACAAGGCTGCACAGACCTTGAAACCAAGGTGTTCTCAGTAGATTGGTCACAAAGTTCCAAAGATGAATCCACAGTCATTCTAATTACTTTTCTAATAATAAATCCTTTCATGTTTCTTTAAATAGACTATCAGTGTGCTTAGTAGATTATTGAAGGAGCAAAAAGCAGTTTGCTGAACGTTCTGTGAACCAAACTGGAAGCAGATGGGATTCTGACTACTTTTCCTTCAGTGTTTCTGTGTGTTCACATCTGTGTTTTTGTGCTGTTTCCTTATCTTTGTTTTCATGTTATTCTAAAATTGAGCCATGTATTAAATTACAAATAAAAGTTTTGCAAGATTTTATTTAAAACATTTTCCTTTAGAATACAAATTTGAGTATTTAATTTCACATGTACTTGTTTTCTCAAAATAACCGATGAATTAGTGCAACTTTTTCTCTTTCTAGTTACCACACCCTAATTGTTCTCACATATTTTTCTTTCCTTTTCAGGATTTTTTTTTTGTGTGTGGTACTGGGGGTTGAACTCAGGACCCTGTGCTTGCCAGGCAAGCACTTATTCTACTGAGCTATCTCCCTGGCCTACTTTTCAGGATTTTAAAATTGCTTTTTATGTTGTTTTTGATCTTTCTGTATGTTTCTTTCTTTTTTTCTTTTTCTTTTTGGTGGAACTGGGGTTTGAACTCAGGCCCTTGCACTTTCCAAGGAAGCTCTTATTCCACTGAGCCATCTCCCCGGACCCTCTGTATGTGTTTATTTTAAATTGTATTTCTTATTACTGGAGACAAATATAGAATGACAGTCCCAAGCATTGAGAAGTTACAAAGATTAAATAAAGTTTACATACGTGCTGATTATTCACCTCTGTTCTATAATAAACTACAAATTAAATAGCATTTAAAACCATTTATAGAGCACTTACTTTTAACTAGAAACAAGTATTATTTATTAAATACTTTAAGTATAGTGTGAAGTTCTTCATATGCATCATATTTTTAGTAAGGAGAACTACTCTAAGAAGTAGGCACTGATATCCTCACTTGATGTAAGAATAAATTGAGCCTCACATAGGTTAAAAGACTTGGATAAAATGCTGGGATTTATAAATGGCAGAACCAGAATTTTAATTCAGGTCCATATGATGGTAAAGCCTGGCATTTTCAGTCTTATGTTTCCATTCTGTCTTGGTAATTTGGGTGGCCCTTTGAGATAGTAGTACGTTTCGATTCATAAACCTAGTCACTGGCCTGTATATGTTAGTGTAGCATGGTGGCCTATGCTTATTTTGATTGGTCAATGCCTGGGCTGTGGGTTTTTGTTGCTTTTGATAAAGGTCTGGTTATTACTGCAAATACTATACAGATTGATGGATTTAAAGTGAAACACTTAGTGACATATATAACCTTTGAAAACATATCTATTATACATAGTAAATCTAATCTCAGTAAGAGATTAGAGGCTATCTTCTATAGCTTTTCTAGTTCTCAGTGTCTAAAGCAGTGGTTAATATAAGTTAGATGAAGGAGTTTTGTGTGTAATTGTAATTGCACCTAAAAGCCAAATTTCTGTATCTTTAGGCCCGAGAAGGCCGGACTACCATTGTGATAGCTCATCGCCTGTCCACAGTTCGTAATGCTGATGTCATTGCTGGATTTGAGGATGGAGTCATTGTGGAGAGAGGGAACCATGATGAACTCATGAAAGAGAGAGGCGTTTACTACAAACTTGTCACAATGCAGGTCTGGTTACTATACTTTTCTCTAATTTCCCTAGTCACAAACTAGTATTGGTGTTTTTGGCTAAAAGTAAGTGTTCCTTGAATTTGATTATCTTAAAAAGTAACAAAAAATACTCAGGGATGTCAACAAAAGATGATTTTTTTTTTCTTGAAAGATAAGAATGTAAAAAATATAAAGAAAAGTGTAATATGTTTAAAGATAAGCTTTTAGTACAACAGCCACTAGCCAGAAGTGGATACTGATTGTTTGAATGGTGGTTGAACCAAATTGAAATGTAAGTCAAAAACACAAATAGTATGCCAAAGGCTTATTGGGAAGAATGCAAACTATCTCAGTTATTTTAATCATAGACTGCATGTAGAAATTAACATATCAGTGATCAGTGATATATTGAGTATATTAGGTTAAATAAAATATATAATTAAAGTAGATTTTAACTCTTTTTCACATTTCTCGATGTGACTCCTAGAAAATTATAAGTGACAAATATGACTTACATTTTGGCTTGACCATATTTTCGTTGTCTGCTGTGGTTCACAGCAAACTTGATGGAGACAACTACCACAGATGGCAGATAACTAAATAAAATCTTTGAAAGAGATGTCATGTTATTTTAGTGTACTCAGTAGGGATCCTTCTTTTTCAGTCATTTCCATTTTCTAAATATTTCTAAGTATATTGTATCAAAACTAATAGCGGTTTAATGCTATCCTTTCTTGTTATCACTTAATTTTCATTTCCTTGCAATCTGATGTTTAATTAGTAATTTGTATTAGTTAACTGAATAACCAGTTTATATATATTTCTTGTTTATTTTAGACAGGAGGAAATGAAATTGATTTAGGAAATGAAATTTTTGAATCCAAAGATGAAACTGATATGCTGATATCATCAAAAGATCCACGGTCCAGTCTAAAAAGATCAGTTCGCAGAAGTATGAGTGAATCACATAGCCAAGACAGAAAGCTTAGCATGAAAGAGGAGCTGGTAAGAAGGACACCATCGGTTTATGTCCTGCATCCTCCCTCATGGCTCTCCTAGTTGGGCAGGCTTACATTGTTATAGAAGTGGGAATAAGAAATGATTTTTCAGAATCTTTTGTCTTGTCTTTGACAGTGATTTGTAATCCAAAATGTCCGTAGTTTACAGTCAGTTAAATTTGAGCTTAAGAAATCAGGCAAAGATTTTTAAAATTAGCACTTAAATTTTCTGTTGTTTATCAGTACTTGCAAATATTCTTTTCATCTTCTGAAAGCCAGGCCAAGAATTAAAACTTTGTTGAAACATCATTCATGAATATTCAAAAGGGTACTATAACAACATCTATACTTTTTTTTTTTTGAAGGGGAAACAAAGAATAAGAATACTTTTATTTCTTCTAATCTGTGTACATAGTAGAACTGTATATCATAAAATAAATTATTAATTTTGTTAAAATAAAAGCTTGTTATAATGCTTTATATTTTCTAGAATGAAAGTGTACCTCCACTTTCCTTTTGGAGGATTCTGAAGCTGAACTTAACAGAGTGGCCTTATTTTGTGGTGGGTGTGTTGTGTGCCATTATAAATGGAGGCCTACAACCAGCATTTGCAGTGATATTTTCAAGGATTATAGGGGTAACTATTTATGTCTATTCTTCTTTGTATTTTCCTATGAATCCTGATGAAGGAATCATTGGACTATTCATATGAAACTGCAAGAATGGAAGTCTAGCTTATGAGAAAAAAGCTAACTTTAGAAAACCTTCTTTGTCCTGGTTTTTATACCATACACAATTAAGTGGCATGCTAGACCTGGTATTGCCCTGGCAAGTGTGTGTGTTATAAAAAGCTCATTCTCAAGTGAGTCTAACAGACACATAAGGGGGCCCATTTACACATTAGTGAGGTGAGAGCTCAAGGGTTTTGCTTAGAGTTCAGTGGTGGTAGAAAGAGGAAACGTACTGTCTGCTTTGTGTAAGTTATTTTATATATACTGAGAAAATACCAAGGCCCAAAACGTGATCCCATGGAGTGTGAACTCTAGGACAGAGGCAGCAGACTTCTCCTACTGAGGGTATGAGAGCAAATATTTTATGTTCTCAGTCCGTGTAGTTTGTATTGCAAATATTAACTAAATGTTGGTGATCCAGGGTGGATCTGGATCCCCTAGGTAATGGGTTGGTGTCATCCTTCGCTTGGTAAATAATGGATTTTGCACCAGATTCCTTGGGTCTGTATTCTTGCGTGATCTCTTGCTAGCTGTATTATCTTCAGGAAGTTAGTGCATCACTCTGTGATGTAGTTTTTCCCTATGAAATGGAACTCTCAGAGATGGCTGTGAGGATAAGAGGAACAGTACCCATGAATTTGTTTGGAGTAATGCCTGGCACAGAGTGAGAGTACAGTGATCTTTTGGCTGTTATTATTACTATTATTATTATTATTATTATTATTTTGAAATGAATAGTCCAGAAAAATTAATTCCTTCTGAAATCCTCTTTCAAACAAACATAGAGTTAGCATTGGGTGAGGATTGCATCTCCCTTACTAGACTGAGTTTTAACTCTGTTGAAAGGAGATACCATTTCCCTTGAGCCCAAGAAAATTGGTAGCCCTGCTAACCATCTTCTAGAAAGACTTCCATGAGTGGCCCTATGTCAGCTGGCTGTCATTCCCAGTTGGTTCTCTAACTAGCCATCATACAAGAATGCTGGCTCAGGACCTGGGCTGAGTACATGCACACATCTTTGTGTTCACTAGATTTTCTCCAAATACCATGAAATGGTTTGAAATATCTCCACTGAATTGCCACTTATTACAGTTCTCACTAAGGGGAGAGAAATGCATTTATATACTAGGGTGGCATTCAGAACTCAAGAGTTTACCTGAGCAGGAGAAGCATGGAGTCACCGTATGAATGACAGTCCTTCTCTTCGTCTCTAAGGAAGGTAGAATTTTAGGTAGATGCCTGGAATTTCATTGTACAAGGCTACAATGTACAAGGCTATCCCTGGCCTAAAGCCATGCCAGAGAGGAGGTGGGTCACAGGCAGTGCGATTAAACTAACACGGTTTTAACTATTTTCTTCATAGGTTTTTACAAGAGATGATGATGAAGAAACAAAACGGCAGAACAGTAACCTGTTTTCTGTATTGTTTCTAGTCCTTGGAATTGTCTCTTTCATTACATTTTTCCTGCAGGTAAATGTCTGCATTTTTACTTATTTGGGGGGAATTTTTAAGCACCTTTATAATTTTCCTTTTAGTTAAATCCCTCTCCCCCAACTTGGCTATTAGCTGTGTTGCATTTTTTGTCACCCTTGCTCACCACTCTCCCTCTCCCGCTCCCCATGTGGAAATAGTGATGAAATCAGAGGGCGTAGGTTGTTTGCTTGTGATCAACGATTGGAACCAAAAGTGGGGAGTCAAAAAATGGCTTTGGGGAAGCCCTGGATATGTTCAGATGTAAGGACTGCTGGTCAATTTTAATAAACAAAGAAATGTTTTCCTGTATTCTGAAAACAAAAGACAAAACTCCTTCACTCAGCTGTTGCCAAAGGAAAAAGAACTTTTAATGAAGAAAGAATAGCAATGCTCAAAGAAAAATTATAGGAACAATTTATACATTCAGATTTTACAGGTCACATATCATTTGGCTGAAATCTATAAAGTAAGATAGGGAATTGTAGGTCTAGTATTACATGCAGCATTTTAGCTTTCTTGTCTTTGTGGTAATAGACCTGAAAATAACAAATTAAAGGAGGAAAAATTTATCTATTTTTAAACTAAAAAATTTTATTCGGATGTTTTCAGTAGATAATGATTACATTCATCAGGGAAGTTAGTACTTGCATATAACACAATTCTTTTTACTTCTCTTCCTGTCTCCTGCTCCCCCATCATTTTTTTTTGAGATTTTATGTATTTTAGATATTAGTCCTCTATCTGCAGAGTAGCTGACAGAATTTCTCTCCTGTTCTGAAGGCTCTTTACTCTGTTCTTGTTTTCCTATTCAGAAGCCTTAAATTTAATGTAGTTCTGTATGTTGATTCTTGCTGTTGCTTCTTGTTTATCAGAGTCCTATTCAGGAGCTCTTTGCCTGTGCCGGTGCCTTTAGTTGTTTCCCTGTGTTTTCATTCAGCAGTCTCAGCCTTTTGGATGTTATAATTTTCTGTTATCCTTTTTGAATTGATTTTTATTCAGGGCATGAATAATCTGTCTTCCATGAATAATTTAGCTTCCATCTTCTACATGTGGATATCGGGGTTTTCCGGCAGCAGTTGTTAAAGAGGCTGTCTTTTCTCCAACATGCAAGTGGTGATTGAAAATACAGTGAATGTTTAAATTACACAAAATGAATTACATTGAAAGACATATTGCCACTAGGGCTCAAAATACCCTTCCCTACTTGAAACATACTTATCCCAACATTCTTGCTGTTTTCTAAATTATGATATACAATAAGAAGTATGGTGAATGCTGCAGGTGAGCGCTGTCCAGTAGAAAGGGAGGCTATGAAAACCCAATGTCTTCTCATCTACCTTATTCACTCTATACAGTGCTGTGCAACTTCTGGATCTTCTCCAGAATCAAAAATAACCCTGAGGGTAAATGTTGTGAATCAACTCAGGACATCAGGGCAGCCATGACAGCACAACTAAAGACATTCAGAGAAGAGGTACTTCTAGCACTGATTTAGGAAGTGGCAAGAACAATGGGATAACTGTGCTCAAAGTGAGGGCGAGTATTTGAGGGGCATTAATGGCAACGTGTCTTTTACTGTAAAAATTTTTATTCTTTGCACCTTGTATTATTTTGGTCCCTATATTTTGGTTCTATATATATAAGAATCTATATAGACTCTTAGCCAAGAATCAGATATAGGTTTGTAGGTTTACTTCTGCATCCTCTGTTTTACTCTATTGGTTTGTGTGTCTGCTTTTCTAGCTATACCACCCTACTTTACTAGGTTGTGGTGGCTTTGCAGTATAAGTTAAGATTCAGTATTGTCACTAACACAGTGTCCCTAGGGACCCTGGAGTATTATTGTTCTGTGACTTCTGATCCCATGAATAGCTCAGTCTTAAACAGTAAGCCCCCCTCTCAAGATGGGCTCTGGATATACCACTGCAAAATACAGCCAGTGCTTCAATGGATTTCTCTTCAAAAGTTAGTCTGCACACACACAGAGGAGTCACTTCAAACTAAATCCTTGCCTGGATTTGCAGATTACAACAACCTTGGTTTCTTCTGTCTGGGGCTGCTGGTTTATTGTTTGTTATGGAGGTCACCAGCTCCAGGCTTACTTTGTACTTAAAAAATTGAATCCCACCCACCTTAGATAGTTTGACATTGCTGACTGCTTCGTACTTTTCTCTGCCTTGCACTTCTGTTTGTTTCTGGTCTTTAGATTTTCTGTCACTTCTTTTTTAATGACTGTAGTTCTTTCTGTCTTTGGAATATAACTTCCCATTTCTCTCTTGCAGCTGACTTCACTCACAGATTAATGCAAAGGATACTTCTGTTTTATCATTTTACCTAACCCAGTTTTTTTTTTTTTTTTTTTTTTTTTGGTGGAACTGGGGATTGAACTCAGGCCTTTGCGCTTGCCAGGGAAGTGCTTATTCTACAGAGCCATCTCCCTGGCTCCACTAAGCCCAGATTTTGGCTTTATTGATTAGAAAACTAAGAGTAGAATATCTTTATTCTCAACATCTTTTCAGGGCTGAGGTGAACATATTTCTTGTTTTTGCAGATTACATTACAGTTTCTAGTATAACAGGACTCCTTTTCATAGAACTCTACATTTTGCAAGTGTACCAGGTTAAATGACATATGTGAGCACTGTTTCTAGGGCTTCCTGCCTTGAGTACATCTCCAGTTTTCTGAGTGATAGACCCATGTTCATTGGGGAAACAAGTAGGGCTGAACTCTGGTCATTTTGCCTGTGAAATTGGTGGCTGAGTCTCTAACAATCTATCTGTGCAACCTGTTCTTTTTCTTCACAGGGCTTCACATTTGGCAAAGCTGGAGAGATTCTCACCAAGCGATTGCGGTACCTAGTTTTCAAGTCCATGCTGAGACAGGTATGTCTACTAAGAGTTGAGCCCTGGAATGTGTAGGTGTCCTCTGGTGCCCAAGATGCAGACAGTAGAGCTTGGTCACATTGCTGGGACTCACTCCTGTATTACTTGACCCTCAGTGTCTTCTCGAGATGGAGCTGAAGTCCTGCAGTCTGTGGGCTGCAGGGGAGCACAAGGGCTTGGACTGCTTTGACATAAATGGTCTCTTGACTAGATTCATCTCCAACTTTTGTCTCAGCATCTATAGGGAGTATAGGCAAAGATGACCTTCATTTTCCCTGTCCTCCTACTGCCTTTATTTTCTCCTTTTGTCAAAAACTCAGAATACCTCATCATATTTCTTGCCCACAAGAGATACTTCTGGGGCCAGGGAGATAGCTCAGTAGAATAAGTGCTTGCCTGGCAAGTGCAAGGGCCTGAGTTGAATCCCTTGTTCCACCAAAAATAAAAATAAAAATAGAAAAAAAAGAGAGAGATACTTCTGTATTCTTCCACTCTATGTAGGGATCCATTGGTCTCATTGTGATCTGTTGTACCTGGGGAGAAATGAAGGCAGGAATGAGGCAAAAATAGACAAGAAGATAAGAGCTGGGTTAAGTGGTGAATTATCTGCCTGATTGCTGAAATGCCCACTTCCCCCACCACTGGCAACAATATGAATGCTTATTTATACCTTTGCAAAATTAGGAACATGTGACACAAGTTTGCCTAGTAATAGCTGATGACATTAACCAGTCAGGATGCTTATCTCAGGAGTGAGGTAGCTTATCTGCTTTAGGCACTGAAGTCTAGTCCCACTTATACACATTTGACCAATTTTCTAGCTTCCATGGCTCCCAAGATATCTCCCTTTTTTGTTTTGCTGTGTCACAAATGGGTGTTCCATGCAGTTAGAGAAGCAGTGTTTGGAGAATTCTTTAGAGGACCTTTTCATACCTGGTGCCAATCCAAAGATTTTAGGTACTTGAATTCAACAATGTAACCCTACATAGTTCAATAGTCCATAAAAATTGTGAATTATCCATACAGCTGATAGTTGCCAGAAGTTGTTAGTGACTTGAGCATTTTACAGCTTAGCATATTAATATGGCATTACTTTTCACATCTCATGTTTATGTTTTTCTGCTGGATGGTTAAGAGCAAGTTAAAGCAAGACTTATATAAATACAAATTTAACTTTTGGTATCTGATGAGGTCAGTAATCTCCTCAGGACTTACCTTGAAACCATGTACTGTACCTCTTAGATCTTCTCTCAGTGTCATCCATCTGGATAAGTCATGGCCATTGCTTGACCAATTTGCTTTCTTTGAAAGCCTGAGTGATTTTTTTCTCTCTAAGTGACTCTCCTTAGGCACACTATATATCATTTATTACTTTTCTCTGTGGCTCCATAATCTCCTTGATCAGAAAGTCAGAGACTCAACTGAGTTACAGGATATCACAGCAGAGATTTTCTTAGGCCCTGAGTCCTCACTGACCTTGAAGGGCTAGGGCCAAAATATTAGCTATCCTTTTAGCCCATCTATCTCTCTAATTTTTGGTCTCCAAACTTTAGTTGTTAAGCATCCAGAAGAGGAGCTTAATGATGATATTGTCTAGCAACTATGGATATTCTAATATTTGAATGCCTATAGAATGTTAAAAGACAACAATTACAACAATTCTATATTTTTCATAGAAATTTAGAAATCAAAACCATGTACCACAGTATAGCAGGACAATCCTGATGATATTTTGTGACATACTTAAATTTTTATTTTGGCACAAAACTTTTGACCAATCATCTCCATCTTATACATAAGAAATTTTTTCTAATTAGCATTGTTAAAAGGCATATACATCACAAGATTTTGTTAAAGGTGGAGGACTGAATTTGAGAGAAAGTCTTATCACAAGCAATGTTTGTTTTACATTTTGGAAGACTTGTACACTTGGAATCATGAATACACTTAGTGCACCATGAGATTAATAAGGAATTACTATACACATGTGAAAAACTTTGTCTTTTAATTTAGTTTAATATCAAACCATTTTAATGAGAAAACCTCGTTGTATTTTTTTCTGAAAAAGTTTATTTTTTTAATCAATGGCCAGTTTATTGAGGATGTCTCCCAAGAGACTATTGAGATTATTGGGAACTCCTCTTTAATAAATAAAAAGATGGGCCACATCTCTTATTCATCAATTGGATTTATCATCTCTTATTCATCTCTTATTCTAACAATTTCTCCCCACTCTAAGGAATGTTTGCTTAAGTAGCTTAAACTTTTGAAAAACTGTGTATAAACAGATATTGATGTCACTTAGACCAGCTGGTAACTTAGGAAAAAGCATGCTTTTTAAGTCTATATCCCAAATTGTATTATGAACAAATGATCAAAAAAGAAAAAAGAGGAACAGCTGTTCATAGAAGGACATACACATAAACAAATATACAGAACGCACAAATATCTTTACAAAATCATGAATGCACTACTATTCCTAGACAGATTAATTTATAGTAAATCTATTACAATTTTTGGAAATTTATAATTATAAAGAGACTAATCAGATTTTATTTGTTAATAAGCAGAGATCTCTTATCAGAAAATTTTGAAAGGAGCAAAATCTTTTATCTATAATTAATATACATATTTTGTAGTTTTGTATTTTTTGTCTTAATATTAGTAAAATTTAGATCAGTTATTTTATACATTTAGACCTTAGATTTACGTTTTGTCATTTTCTTCAATAGGTCACATTTGGGTCTAGCTTCATTTCTGTTAACTTCTTCTCTAGATCTGGCTTCATGGTATTAATGGTATACATGATAACATTATAATGTATGCTGTGGTACCCAAATAGGTCATTTAGCATTTCCTGGAAAAACACAAGCATACCCTCTGCCCTATGTTAGTAGTGGACTGGGTCCCTTCCATTGCCCAGTATGGAGATCTTTCTGAAGTATCCTTCCTAGCCTTTTGTCTCTTATTTGATGGAATTCTTTCTGCTGCTATACTTCCATCTTTTGCAGAATTTAAAAATTTAATTGTGTTTATTGATAAATCAAATTGGAGGGATTGGTTCCCTTCTCTTTTCTTTGTAATTGAATTTTAATTGTACGGTAACAAACCTGTATCCTATATTTTGGAAGAGAAAGCCATATATTTCCTCACTTAACCTAATATGACCTATCTGTGGGAAAAAAAAACAAATTAATTTAACTTATCTGAAGGATAATGATAGTCAATAACAGCAGAGAAATTAGCTCAAAAATCTATATAGAGCCAATTAATATTACCAAATAAAGTCTGAAAATCATGAATAGTTGATGTGAACAGTTTGAGCCACATGATATCTTTATTGAATAATATTTATTTAAATATGAAGAAGTTATCATAGCTTGTACCCCTTTGGAGGCCATCACTGGGCTTTTATTATTTCAGTGGGATGTCAAAATCATGCTACTATTTAAACCGTTTCAACTGCACTGCGTTTAGATTGTACTCCAAACCTCTATATTTGTTTGTGAAATGTGAAAGCTTTTCTTTCTTTCTTTCTTTCTTTCTTTCTTGCTTTCTTGCTTTCTTGCTTTCTTGCTTTCTTGCTTTCTTGCTTTCTTGCTTTCTTGCTTTCTTGCTTTCTTGCTTTCTTGCTTTCTTGCTTTCTTGCTTTCTTGCTTTCTTGCTTTCTTGCTTTCTTGCTTTCTTGCTTTCTTGCTTTCTTGTTTTCTTGCTTTCTTGCTTTCTTGCTTTCTTGCTTTCTTTCTTGCTTTCTTGCTTTCTTCTTTTCTCTCTCTCTCTCTCTCTCTCTCTCTCTCTCTCTCTCTCTCTCTATCAGTTCTAATTTAGAACTTTAACACAAGCAATCAAACTTGTTAGGAATTAAAGGAATTTTAAGTAATTGTACTGGTTGATACATTATATCAACTTGAGAAGTTTAGAAGTTTGAATAAGGGGACGGGGAGATGGCTCAATGGAATAAGCACTTCCCTGGCAAGTGCAAGGGCTTGAGTTCAATACCCAGTCCCACAAAAAAAAAAAAAAAAGCTTAAATAAGTGACTGAGCAGGGAGCCAGGATTCTTAGTTTGTAAACATTCTAATCCTGTGCAAGAGGAGGGCATGGGCATGGTGTGAGTTCTACACCCCCAGACCCAGGGTAGCTCTTTTGTAATATAAGGAGGGAGAGGCTGGCTAGAAGCCACCACAGCTGCTGCCCTTCCCTTTGTTCATCACTATTTTCTGCTGCTATAAGTGCTGTTCTCTGCCATGTGGCACTCTGCCTGGGAGCCAGCTGAGTATAGACTTAAACCTCCACAAACTGTGAGCTTAATAAACCTTTCCTTCCTTAATTATGGGTGTTGGATATTTTATTCCAGCAACAAGTAAAAAGTAACCAGAACAGTAATCTTTTAAAATATCCCCATTATTGAAAATCTTAGGAAATATTTTTTTTAGAAGCAAACTTTTAAGAAATTATTTAATCATTTGGTACAGGGTCTCGCTGCATGGCTCATGCTGGCCGGGCGTGTGGTACCGGCCATTGAAGCCGGGTTCTTGCGCTTGCTAGGCAGGTGCTTAGGCCATTGAGCTATCTTCCCAGCCCCACCCCACAAAGCAAACTATTTCTATCTTTAGGATGAAAACAGCATTTTAACTTAATTACCTTAAGGGGAAAATGTAAAGCGTGTGTGTGTGTGTGTGTGTGTGTGTGTGTGTGAATTGTAATGGAGAGAATAAGCTCTTTTCCTGGGGGAATGACTACAACTTTGTGGCTGCCCTACCTGGAAGCCATCCACATTTGCATTTGAAAAGCACTTTAAAATGTTTTTCCTTTAATTAATTTTTATTTCTTAACCCAATATTTCTTTTTAATAAATTTAAAATTTTTGTTGAAGAAAGAATGACCAATCAAGAAGTATAAGAATCTGGTTTGTGGTTTAAACAATGGTTTGGGTGAATAGAACTGCAACTTTGATTTCCCTGTATAATCAGCATGGATGACACCAATGCAAACTTGTAG